TTTTATGAGAAGGACTTGAAGTTAATCAATATTTTTTTAGAATAAACCATAGCTATTTTTTATTTTGTGTAACTGTATCAGCTTCATACTTTCTGCTTTGTTCAGAAGATATTTTTATTGATAACAAAAAATCTTTTTGTTTCTCATTAAGCTCCCGATTGCGAGGTATATAGCAAAGATTTTTATTATAAAAGCTAAGAGGTAAAGAAGGGAAAAAAAAGACACAATAAAAGAAATTGCTTCAAGTTCTTCAAGTGGATAAGTTCAAAGCTCTTATTTATCTGGAGTTGAAAGGAGAACCAAATGGAAAATTAAAAATGATGTTTTAGTAAAACAAAAAATGTCAGGTATGCAATGAACAATACTTAATATCTTTACTGAAAAAATGCAACATTTGATTTTAGATTGCAAATATTTTCTTTTAAAGTTTCTTCTTTACACTTTATTCACTTTGGATCATATAAAGTAGGCCTAACGCCACGCTTAAATTCAAAATTTTGAACATTTGTAAACATAACAAGGTTTTTAATTGTTTTAATTTTATGACCTGGAATGACCCATTGTCTTGATTTACTTGTACAAGCAATCTCTTCAGGTGCATACTCATGTAAATTTAAAAAATATTCCGCAAGTTCAAATAATAAAGTCATCACGTGATTACAATAACCACTATTTCCGGTAGGGCACAATCAATATGCTGTTCTAACAGAGCTAGTCAATTTGCTAATATAAACTTTTAAATCACGAACTTCATTTTTCATGCTTGCTTTTCATTTTGCATTTACTATGATACACGTTAGGTTATATGAAGTGTAAATACTATCTGATGATAGATATTGTTCAGATTTAAATCTTTTACCTCTTATAAATGGTTTTTTTTTTTTTGCAATACTTTTGTTTTTAGCCTTTTTTTTCTGTAGTTTTCTATTTCTTTAAGAGTTAATAGTGGCAAGTATTTTAAACTTTTACACCATGTTAAAGTTTCATCTGCAGATTCAAAATTAAGCGAAATATTTAAATTTTTATTTAATTCCAAAACAACTGGTATTTCAGTTGAATAGTTATGTAAATCTACTAGAACATTTTCTACTTTAGAGTTCATTAAACAATTATTTCGATATTTACGTTTTATTATTGCCTGATATCATTACATCATTATGTCATTGGAATGGAGGATACGTCTATTGTAACTTTTCTTGGAATAAATGGAAATTGAAAGAGAAAATTGCTTGAAAACTTGTTAATGTCAATTTTGTTAGTTTTATAATTTTCCATGCTAAGAGACAAATGCCAAATACGATACATAAACTGGGAAATACCAAATATAATATGTTTTTTAATGTGCCTTACGACATTCTGACAATTTAAATTACCATCTATCTTGAATTATTGCCATTAATTAATGTGTTAATTATAGCGTTAATTAATAATAACTTATCTGTATTTTTGTTAAATGTTAATTGTATTAAACGGGCAAAAATATACGTACTTCATGTTTTTAATTTGATGGTTATAAAATATTGATCAGTAAATTTATAATCAAAATTTACAATACTGACTTGTGCTGTTATTGGTTGCACTTGTAATGCAAAACCAGAATCTCACATATCCTTTCACGAATTTATATATATGATACTATTGTCAACTAAATTGTTTAGTGTATTCTTGTATTTTTTTTCATAACTTTAACAGGTTCTAATTGGTATGGAGTTGCCGACATTTTGAAAGTTTCGTTATCAAAAACCAAATGCAAAATTTAATGATATTTCCTTTTTTATTTATATTATTTAGCAAACTTAGCAATTTAAATTTAATCAGATTAATTTTTTTATAATAATAAAATTTAACAGTTTATCAAATATCTCTAATTAATTTTACTTTTTTTTTTTGAAGAACAAAAACTTCATAGCGTAAAAATGACCAGAAAAATTAGAAAATAGTTCATATTGTTTAAATGAAAATAAGTAAGATTCAGAATATATAATACTGCTCTCTCTTGCACAAAGGCCATGTATATAACCATGTATATAACGTTCTATATAATGTAAAATACTCAAATGAAAATCATAAGATTGGTAAGTAAAGCTTTAATATTTGTTTTAATTTAAAAACAAAAGAAATATAAATAAGATATAGAAATCTAAAAATTATTAAGATAACTGTAAAAATAAGTTGCTCCTATAAAATAAAAATAATTTATTATTTTTACTTTTTCCGAAATTTTTTTTACTAATAAATTCGTTTTTCCGTATGTTAAAAAAATACTACAACTAGAATTAAGGTAGAAAAATGCAGCTTTGTTTAATTACATTTTTTGTTTGTCAAAAATCTAGCGTGGCATCAAATACTAAAACTTTTAATTAAATGCGCTTCAAATGAATCGCTGAAGTCTGTAGATTGCAACCTATAATTTAAAGACTCCAAGTGTTTGAGTAAAATGGAGAAGGCAAAACTTTTTCTTGGTATGCATTCATTATTTATTTTTGATCAAGAAAACTTGGTTCAAACCTTTTTTTTCAACATTATCTTTAATATGAACACAACATGTGTTGGGAGTTTGGGATCCCTTTAAATATTGTTTTTTTTTATATAAATTTAACACTGAAAAAAAATTTGCCTCACATGAATGGTACATAATTAAAGAAAAAGGTAAATAATTTTTTATTGATCATGCAAAGTAGTGTCGAAAAAGAAAAGTTGATGAATGTTTTGCAACAAAATATTATAAGAATAAAAAATAATAATTTCTGTCTGATATTTTGCATTTTGAAAGTAAATTAATTATCACGTTTTGCAGGTTGTTTACAATAAAACTGAAATGGTTCTTTTTATTTAAGAGAATTATTTAACGTAAAATATTTAGTTAATATTCAGTCATAGCGTTATAAGCCTTTATGGGAATTGAATTTACTTATTTGCAGTGGCAAAAAAAAGAATTGTCAAGGGCCTGGCAGAGCTTTTAAAAATTATCTGTGTCCTACACAGTTGAGAGTACTTTAGAAGTTATATGTAAGATTTATGTATTCAAGGACTGTTTTTTTTTCAGTAAAGGTGATGTTCCAGATAATATTTTTAGAGAAATGGTATTATTCATGACCAAAACAACAGCCTTGTGTTAAGAGTCTGTAAGTCAAAAATATCTTAAGCCCAGTTAAGACACAGCCACTGCTTATTTGTTATAGATTATAAAATTTTTGTTGATGATTTTTAAAAATAGATTGAGTTTAAGTAGGTTATTGTCTAATCACAGCTTATTGTCTAATCACAGCCTATAGTCTAATCATGTCTAGTCATTTATATAATCATATATATTATGTATTACTATATAACTCACTATGACTATATAAATCACTTAAACTGATAAACACATATATGGCGATATAAATCACTTAAACTGATTAGAATTTTTTACTGCAAATTTTTCCAGGATTTTTATAAAGATAGTTTTCTGGGATTTTTATTTTCAATATTTTACGGGTTTTTTTACTAACTAAATAACTCATCTATTTTATTCAAATAATAATATTAAAATGTTCCCACAGCATATTTACACTCCAACTTAATAAAACTATAATTATCAATGTGCATCCCAAAAAGTAAATAAACCAATTATAAAAAACATACATGTTGTAAAAACACAAGTTATTAAAAACACATGTTGTAAGAACACAAAAGTTATTGAAAACATACATGTTATAAAAGTATACATGTTGTTAAAAACACATGTTGCAAAAACATGCAAGTTAATAAAAATATACATGTTAAAAATATACATACCTGTTGTTAAAAACACACAAATTATTAAAAATATATATGTAAATACACAGAAGGTATCTTTTGCTAGTCTAACTGCAAGTGGAAAATTTCTGCATTGCTTTTAATTTTTTTTAAGTTTATTTACTGGTAGCCTTAATGAATGTACACCTTTTTTATTTCTAATGTTATTTTTTTAAATTTGTAAATAAAATTGCTAATATTTACTAAACATTTGCATACGACTAAAAATGCATTCATAAAACTTTTATATATTTACTTGAATGATACTTGTTGAAAAATTGGGTATATCATTGAGTTTACTCTATCCATGAACCATTTGTTGTTAGGTTGTTTTATATCTTTGATAATAAGTTCAGTCCAGTATTAGCTCTTTTTAAATGAGCTGTAAAGAAAGAGGTATAAGATTAACTTTTAGTCAATTAAATTCTAAACGTTTTCAAAGTTGAAAGAAGAAAATAGACAGAAAAAAAATTGGTTCAATCAACTTCAAGGTATATTTATTAAGCTCAAACCACTTACATTAAAGAGCGAACTAATATTAAATTATTGAAGAGTAGAACAAATATAAAAAGAAAAGTAAGTAAAATTTATACAACTTACTGCAGGAAACCTTTCACATGCAAGCAAAAGCAACTAAATACAGAGCTTGAATTTATTTTTGCTTTACTACTTTTCAGTTTTGTTGATTCAGGAATCCAACTGAACATTTTGTTTACTTTAATTTTTAAAAGATTGTGTTGTGTATTTTAATTTTTAAAAGATTTTTACTGAGTTTTTAGTTATTTATATAGTATAAAAAAATTTCAATGAAATAAAAGAAAAAAAAATTTTTTTTGAATTTGAAATTAAATTATTTACTCTTAATGCCAGATTACTTTAATAAATATATTTTAAATATTAAATTCTCATTAACAAAGTCATTTAAAAAATTTTAAAAATTTTTTAAAATAAAATAAAGAATAATGAAAATCTTTATTTTATTTAAAAAATTTTAAAGCATTTACATGTAACTTTATGTGCAAATGCTTTAAATGTGGTTTACCTTATTGATAATACTTTTAAAAATAAAAAATTTGTGAAGTTTTTATTTCTGATATAGAACATATTAATAATATTATAAATATCATAATACAGAGTTTTTAGGGTAAAATGTGTACTTTTTAGTATGCATTTTCACGTATAAACATAAATAACCCAATAGTTTAATTTAACATTTACTTTAG